TCTGGGTCTATTTCTCTGTGCCGTGAGGGTTTCTGTGTTCCCTCTCTGCAGGATCTCAGTGTTTCGCCCTCCATTACAAAGGCCCAGGGCTTGAGCCCCTCCTCCAGCTGTTCACCCCCAATCTTGCCCATGCTGAGGCTTACTTACAGCACACTGAAGAGTTCCAGTGGGGTGCAGGGCACTGCAATTTAGGATTTCTGCAGTACAGGGTGAATTTTCAAGAGTGCATCAGAGAGGGGAGCCAGGCTTAAAAATAGCCTTTACTCATCTTATTAACCATTTCATCGCTGAACTGGTTTTTAAGGCTGGGCCAGCAGGTGTTTTTCTCTAGCAAACACCAAAATTGTTAGAGCTGCCTCTGTCAGTTTGTATAAAGGCAACATTTCTCTAAGTCTGGAATAACGGCTGAATAAATGTTGTGAATCATTACAGAAAGAACTACCAAAAAATTACTGCATTCTTCTCTGTACCGTGTTTGAGGGTAGGAGAGGGAAGGGATTAGAGAAGTAGGGAAAGAGAAATCGGGTGACCAGAGGAGTAGAGAAGCCTCTCGTTCTGGTTTGTATTGATCTTATTTAAGCATGGGGAGAACTGATGAGTCTGTGATTATTTTAATGACCATGAAACCTGTGCATTCAAAGAAATAAATTAAGCTATGTAATCACCTTCCAAGTAATATCAAAGAACCATAAAAGGACTAGGGGGAGGACTGTCATTGTGTAGCAGTATTTCCATCAGACAAGGCACCGCAGGCAAAGGTAAACCAGGGGTTGAAGTCTTTTCTGGGAGAGAAGAGCCCAAAATTCAACACTTTATGGTCGTGACCTAAAGCAAAGGGTATGGCATTGAAGCAGTAGTTGTTTTTATTTTGGTATTTTGGGAAGACAATGCTGATGTCAGAGGTTTGTGAGTAGTTTACAAAGCAAGTAAAACTTTGAAAGTGAAACACACAATTAGGCAGAGAGTGACAAATAGAGCCAGAGGTTGTGCATCCAGTGAGGGTTTTTGTGACAATATGCTCTACATTTGAATAATAATGAAAACACACTTGATTCACTCAAAAGACAAACTTCTGATAATCTCCAATAATGTGACATTATTGTAATGTGACATTATACCATAACGTGACAGCTTGTCTAAGGGATGACACTAAGTAATATGAGACACTGATGCTGCACTTGAGGCTAGCAAGAGAAAGAACACACGTACACACTCAAAGATGACTTGCAACATGACATTGTTTAATAGAAGTTGTAATTAGCTGATTACAAGCACTTGTGATTTTATTGACCTTTCTTATTTCACAAGCTAGTGCAGTGGGGAGGAAGAGCCCCACTCTGGAATCTGCAGACCTGGTTTCTCACCATGGTTCTTCCACTTGTTTTTTGTCTAACTCAAGAAAAATTGTTCATTGTTTCCGGGCCTCAGTTTTCTCAGCTGTACAGTGGGGATAACATCATCTGTTTCCTCTGGTTGCTGTGTATTTGGACAGGTGCTTGATAGTTATAGTTATTGTCATTAATCGTATTACTCTAAATAGATAACAGAAATTCTTAAGAAAATTCTTTGTGAACCTCAGGAAAATAAAACCTAATAAAAAAATTAAGCCTTTAAAACCATGAGGCTTCTGATCATGAATGTGTCATTAGTTAACCTCTGCTACCACTAGAGTTGCCTGATAAAATAGGACACCCAGTTAAATTAAATACCAGATGGACAACACATTTTTTAAAATATTTTATTTATCTTTAGAGAGAGGGGATGGGAGAGTAACATTGATGTGAGATACCTCAGTTGCCTCTCTTATACCCCCAACCGGGGACCTGGCCCGCAGCCCATGCACACACCCTGATTGGGAACCTAACTGGTGATCTTCCAGTTCGCAGACTGGCTGGCCCTCAGTCCGCTGAGCCACGTCAGCCAGGGCCATATATTTTTCTAATGTATCACAGGCAATAATACTAAAAAATTGTTGTTCATCCAAAATTCAACTTTAACTGGTCATTCTGTTTCTTACTTTCTAAATCTAGCAAATTAACTACAACTGTAAAGACCTGAGTACATTTAAGTCCTACTGAGGGAACAGGAAAGGAGTCCCTATTTAAGAAAGATTTAAAAAATTAATAAATAGTTATGAAAAATCGTAAATATCCAGAACATAACTTATCAACATAAGAAGGAAAAACAATGGCCATTTTTCCATTTTGCAGTTTAGCGAGTGGCTTTCAGTTTTTAATAATCTCTCGCCCAAATCATGGCAGTGAGCTGCTTCTAGGTTCCCTTAGCCCATTCGAACAGCTACTACTAGGCCTGAAAGGAGTTTTGTTTTGTTTTGCTTTTTCTCTTTCTCTGGTGCAGAGCTCCATGGAAATTTGGTTATGCAGACAGACCTGTGGAGCTGATAATATGCTGACAAGTAAGACACCCAAACTGAGATGCTCTGTCAAAAGGAATGGTCCTTCCCAGTCCAGAGGTAATGATGTGGTTAAGAGGAGATGTATGTCCAGGAAATGTTTAGGTCACTGGAGTATTTATGTTTAGGTTAATTAAAGTGAATGCTATTATGAACATGTCTATGATATTTTGCATTTGCTTAATCAACACTCGGTATTCCTTTGCTATTTTATGCCTTTCTAATAGGGCGACAGGGTAAAGGCCTATCACACGGTACAATGAAATTCAGAAAGTTATATGAACAACAACGTTAATATTGGAAGCATGAGTTTTGAACTCTTAATTTCATGAGACACTCCCCACATATAGAGAATGTTAATAAGAATTTCTGATTTCACTTTGTCAACAAAAGACACCATACTGAAGTTTGCTTTCACACATATTTACTTGGCTTTGTGGTAACATGGTTGATAAGATACATGCTTACATATAAATTAGGATATGTTATTCACTGAGATGAAAAATAAAAAAAGATTTCAAAAATAACATAAAATGAGTTTTATTTAGCACTTAAAATGTGAAAAAGTTTTAATGTTGCAGTTTTTGCCTCTATTAAGTTCCCTCATTCATCACTGATGCAGATGTGTTCTCGAGTTTTAAATTTTATGATATCCCAATATTTATATTAGTGCCATAAATCTCTTTAACCACTTGTAAGTACATTGGAAAGACTGGCTGGTTTTGAAAACTCTTTGTAGATACTATTAACCTATCGAAGTCCTTATTTCAACTTAGAGTTTAAAACAATGTAACCAAAAAAATTGTGCAAGCAATCAAAAACCCAAAAAGTACATTAGAACAACACCTTTTCCTTTGAAGGGCAGAGGAAAATCATGGGTAATTCAGGCCAGTTGGTTTGTAGAGAACTCTAGCTTATGAGAATGACTTGGTTGGGAGCAGCCACTCAACAGCCTTGGCCATTACATGTCAATCTGTCAAACCCACAAACAAAAACACCACAGGCTTTAGCGCAAATGGCATATGACAAATGCAGATGTGCCTCTCAAAAGAATCCTTGGCTTTTTAAACACCTGCAAGAATTCCAAAACAACTGGCATGCCTTCCACTCTGCCATAGCCACTCTCCTGACCCTGAGTTCGGAGTGGTAAAGAAAAAATGCCTAGAATGTACAGTATTTGGTTCCCATTTGGAAGAGCAGTAGGGGGCTGATGAGGAACAAGTACAGTGTTGATATCACAATGCCATGCACCTGCTTTGGGTGTAAAAAGAAAGAGTTTATTACAGAAACTGCAGCATTTTTTTTTTTATCTCATTAAGTAGTAGTGAGGAAATTCAAGTGTTTCCCTTTTATTAGGTTAACCCATCCTGAATTAAAAGGATCAATTGAGAGTCTTTTCTTTTTTTACCCAACAGGTGTATTGTCTTCTTTTCTGAATTAAATTGCTTTCCACATTTTGGTTTAGGCAGATGAATAATTTGCAGGACTGTTGCAAAGTAGTGTTTCTTAGATACTTACTAGCCAAAAAAGGAGATTTAATTTATACTTCTAATTTTCAAAAGACAAGCATTTCCCAAAACACCTTTCTAGTTGATAAACACTTCTACATCTAGAAAATAAATTACAGAAGAGACACCATTCATTCCTAGGGAATATTCTCACAGTGTGAATTTTAGCTGGTATCTTTCAAAGTGGCATCCTTATAAAACCAGTAAACAACGGCTAGCGTAAATTAGTTTAAGGTTTAAGGTTAACAGTTGGTAGGGAAAAATGTTTTTATATATACATATTTACCAAATAAAATCTCGGGTTAATAGTCAAACTATAAATATAGATAGGCCACCACTATGTTATCAGAAAGAATGTCAGCAAGCGCAGGCTGCCCGGTAGCAAATTACAAAGTTTTGGCTCTCAAGAATGAGATGCCTTGTTTGCTCTTGCACATTGCAGCTGCCTCCCCTCACTGCCCGCCCCCCCTTTTGGTGGTTTATTACACACAAGCTACTAATGAATGGGAGCCGCTGTTTTACAGTACACCACACTTACAGGACTTATCTCTAGGCCTACCACAGATTTGACTGATCAACAGCAGGGCACCGCCATCATAATTCTTCCTAGAAACAGGAGTATAAAAAGGGGTTTGTTGGAGGTTGGCTGGGTCTGCAGAGAATCCTGCCCGCAGGGCTTGCCGATGCCATCACTAGCTGTTATGGTCTTTGGCCTAATAAGGTACAGAAACAAAGATTGTTCACTTATTCAAGAAGACTAAAGCACCAGAATGACGGAAAGTAGAGGCAGCAGGGCACACATCCAAGTGGGATTAAGGCCACAAGCGTAACTTTATAGGGCTGTCTGGGTGGCAGAATAAGGATCTGCAGCTGAAAATCCAGTTCAAACATAATTTATTATTTGTCATTCATAGTTAGAGGTGGCTATCATTAGGAGTTAAATTGTTGCATTGTGTCTAACTGATTTTGATAAGTATTTTTGTAAGCCTCTTATATGTTACCATAACTCAGAAACAGAGGCAGAAGGTAAACAGCCTGATAAATGAACTGACCCAGAGATATCTGAGAAATATATTTGGATTGCTTCTTAGCCTTTTGGCAAAGATCAAGTGTAGTTACCTGCTCTTATCAGTTTATTATCATACGTCTGTAGATCGAGGACCACGCCTTACGGTAAACGGATTTTTGGAGCAGGGAGATGAAACAGGAGATTGCTCCCTCCAAGCTGTGCATCCACCTGGAAGAGTGTACCTTCAGGAACAGTGCACACCCTTGGGGAGCAAATGTGTATATGTGTGTATTTGGAAAATGCCATGGTGCTTCATTTTTTCCCCATCCTCTGCTTTAAAGTGACATGATTTCCTGGACATTTCTACATTTTAATGTTTCTCTCATTGCAAACATATTTTACAATGCGCATCTCCTATGCTTTTTCAAATGTTCAGATAAACATCAACAAAATGAATATGCCTATTTCCCAACAAAACAAGTACTCTAACTCTGTTCAACTTGGAGAAGTCATTTGCCCCCGTCTTAAAGTCGTTGAATGATCTAGCTGAGAATAAAATTCTTTCCCAATGTTGGGAGTACAGCAAGATTAGCAACAACAACAAATATATTACAATATTAAATTTTTTCTGTTCTTGGATCCCAAATAAAGCTGAAATTAGAAACATGGGCTGCTAAAAAGCTATTTTTACAATGAGCCCTTCACATTTTTGAAGTCATTGCACAGTAGTCTCATCTGAAAGAGGACTATATTTGGCTGAAGCTTTATTGTATATAAAATAATTATATGTTCTAAGCCACAATAACTTAAATTTGTCATACACATAGATATGTAGTTCATGAAGTTTTGATGATCTTAATACTATTTAGTAAATTGTGACAGGATTAGAGCATGCGGGTATAGGGGAGTATAAGTATCGATATTAACAGAGCCAGATCAGAGTTAATCAAGGGTGTACCATGTATAAGAACAAAACTCAAATGTGGCAGTTTTTCAAATAATATTCTCCCACACTGTCAAATGCAAGTCATCTTATTTCCCCTCCCAACTCCATGTTTTATTTATCCTGATTTCAAATGATTTAAGCATTTAAGATTGGTGTCATAATTTTAATGTTCTTTTAATATCCAGGACAGTGCCAGGCTTACTATTTTATTTCATCTTTTAATATGTTCCTTTGTATCTCTTGACATATGTACCATTTGGAAGCACATAAATATGTAGTCGCCTGATGCTTATTTCAGAAAGCAGAAAAGTCTTATTGTGACATATGACACAAAGACCACTTTATTTGTAAAGCTATTGTACATCAAATGGGAAATTTGAGGTAAGACAATGTGAAATTGTGCTAAACTAGTTCTCTGAATTGCTACTTACTAGCAATATAACCTTGTACAATTCACTAAACTCCTCTGAGCTTCATTTTGATCATTATAAAATGGGGATATATTATATGCCTGCCCTTTCTGCAAGCCTTATTTTATATTCAAAGACAAGATATTAGCAGTTGCTTTGAAGCAGAACACCTGGAAACAACCTAAATGACCCACAGGAGACTGGTTAAAGAAATTCTGACCCAACTCTTCTGTGTGGGATATCATGCAGCAGATACAGAGTGAAATAGACCTATCTGCATTATAAGTACATTCTTCCAGGTTTATGAAGTAAGAAAATACATACAGTAAAGCCTCATTTGTTAAAAAAGTATCTATGTGTATAGATATAAGTACATATGAAGAGTAGCTAACCTTCATAAAATCCTTACTCAGTGCCAAGCACTGCTTCTAAGCAGTTCACATATAAACTCACTTAATACTTACAATAAACCAATGTCATCCTCAGTTTTATACATGAGAAAAACAGAGATCATACACGTAAGTAGTAGAGGCTGGTACTCAAACTTTGACTGTATAGATTCAGAGTCTATGTTCTTAACAATTATATAACTACCTAAGGACCTACCTATCTAATCTATCTACCTGTGTTTCCATCGACCTATGCATTTTTCTTTATATCCAAGACCAGGAAGGATATATACTTCTGGGGAAGTGATAAACAGCACTTTTTCTTTTTATTCCACAAATCACTTTCACTGCTGCTTCTATAAATTTTTGCATTATTTGCACTGCCATAGTCAAGTTTAGAAATTTGGTACTGGGGATATCTGATATACAGCTCCAGGAATTACAAAGAAAAAGCTTTATAAACAAGTTGTCTTTAAGTGGGTACTAAAAACAATGTCAATAATTTACTTTGGGTGGAGCCTTAAATATGAATATTGTTCATATCTCTGAGGAGACATGACATCTTTTCCTTTTAATTTTAACACCCTTCTTTTTCAATCACACCCACCATATCCCCATGAGCACTCCAAAGTTTTATTTCCTGACTGAAAGGAAGCTAAAATTGAAATATTTCTATTAGGGCAGGGCTATAGTTTGAGGCTATGTAATAGAACAAACTTAAACTGAAATTGAATGGTTCTAGGGGACTTCTGGTCAAGATGGCAGCATAAGCAGATGTGTCTCACCTCCTTGCACAACCACATCAAAATTACACCAAAAATACAAAACAACCGTCATTCAGAACCATCAGAAATCAAGTTGAATGGAAGTCTGACAACTATGGAATTAAAGAAACCTTATCCATTCAGACTAGTAGGAGGGACGCAGACATGGAACAGGTCAGTCCCATACCTGTTCCACATGTGGTAGATAAAAATTCTGGAGGGATATCTCAAGAGCAAGGAGTCCCAGGCCCCTAAGCTCAGGGATCCAGTGCCAGGAAGCTAAATCCCTACAACTTCTGATTGCACAAAGCAGCAGGGATTAAGTTGGTGGAAGAAACTTCTGGAGGCCCAAGCAATTCCCTTTAAAGAATCCACACAAAGACTCACCTACTCAACAAACTCACTCCTTCTGATCTCTAGCACTAGGATAGCAGCTTGAAAGGCACTGGAGGAATACTGGGAGAAACTGAAGTATCTGGCATTAGGTGAGCAGAGGTCATTGTGCTTTTTCTAAACCCTCCCCTGACAGAGCCACAGAACCAGTGAGCTTGTGCCATATCTGACACTCCATCAATCTTGCTAACACTGTTTGACCCACCTTGGAGATCCCAACTTACGGGCCCACCCAAGATGCTTTCCCTTTGAATGGCTGATCTTGGCTCATACTGCACAACTTTCTAAATCCTCTCAAACAAATAACAGCTGACCTCAGTGAGCCCCAGGCCCGGCACTCACAGCAGCCATCCTAGATTCACAGTTTGGTTTTGCTCGGGAATCTCCAACCCCAGCACAAGTGGCAGCCATCTCAGATGGATTCTAGCTCAGGCAGGGTGGCCCTGGGCAAAATACAGGTGGGTGCTGACCTTGACCTGCAGACCCAGGAAACCCCAGGGCCAGTGCATGCAGTGGACAGCTACAGACCATGTTGGAGCACCACCACCATGCCCCTGCATAATTGGTCCTCAACAGAGGGTGGAGGTTGGTGGTAAGTGGTCACAGCCACTCCTTGCAGCTGACTGGCCTGGGTAAATCCCTCCCATTGATTTGTCAACAACTGCAAGGCTCCACTACAAGAGGAGGGTGTATTCAGACTACACGAAGGGCACAACTTGAGCACCCAGCTTTGGTGATAGGGGAGGCTGTGCCACCGGACCCTACAGGACTCCTACTACATTAGGCCACACTGCCAAGACACAAAGTAAAAGCAGCTCTACCTAATACATAGAAAAAAACACAGGGAGACAAAGAGACATGAAAGAACAGATAAAAACTCCAGAAAAAGAGCTGGACGAGATGGAGATAGGCAATCTATCAGCTGCAGAGTTCAAAACACTGGTTATAAGGATGCTAAAGGAAATTAATGAGGACCTCAGCAGCATTAAAGAGATCCAGTCAGAAACAAAGGATACACTAATGGAAATGAAGAACAATTTACAGGGAAATAACAGTAGAGTGAATAAAGCCAAGAATGAAATCAATGATTTGGAACATAAGGAAGGAAAAAAAACAACCAATCAGAACAAGAAGAAAAAAGAAACAAAAAAAATAAGGGTAGTGTAAGCAGACTCTGGGACAATTTCAAGCGATCCAACATTGGCATCATAGAAGTGCCAGAAGGAGAAGAGAAAGAACAAGAAACTGGAAATCTATTTGAAAAAATAACGAAAGAAAACTTCCCTAATTTGGTGAAGGAAATAGACATGCAAGTCCAGGAAGCACAGAGAGTCCCAGACAAGATCAATGCAAAGAGGCCCACTCCAACACACATAGTTATTAAAATCCCAAAGGTTAAAGATAAAGAGAGACTCTTAAAAGCAGTTAGAGAAAAGTAGTTAGTTACCTACAGAGGAGTTCCCATAAAGCTGTCAGTTGATTTCACAAAAGAAACTTTGCAGGCTAAAAGGGATTGGCAAGAAACAATCAAAACCATGAAAAGCAAGGAGCTACAGCCAGCCAAGATTGCTCTACCCAGCAAAACTATCATTTAGAATCAAAGGGTAGACAAAGAGCTACTCAGACAAGAAAGAACTAAAGGAGTTTATCATCACCAAAGCTTTATTATATGAAATGGTAAAGGTACTTATTTAAGAAAAAAAAAAAGATCAAAACATATGAACAATAAAATGGCAAAAATACATATCTATCAATAATTGAATCTAAGAAATAAACTAAGCAAACAACAGGGACAGAATCATGGATATGGAGAATGTTTTGATGGTTGCCTGATGGGAGGGGCATGCAGGGTAATGGGTGAAGAGGTGAGGGGATTAAGAAGTACAAATAGGTAGTTATGGAATAGCCATGGGGATGTAAAATACAGTCTAGGAAATGGAGCAGCCAAAGAACTTATACACATCACCCATGGACCTGAACCAGGTGTGAGGACTGCCTGAGGGAGTCCGGGGTGCTGGGTGGAGGTGGGCAAAGGGAGAAAAATCAGGACAACAGTAATAGCATAATAAATAAAATAAAATTTATAAACAAATAAATAAATAGTTCTACAGAACTGACCAGTGCTTAACCAGCCACAGATAATAATGAGTGTTTCTTTTACCCTTGCAAACACTTGCCTCCATTCACATTACTTGCTCATATTTCATTCTAATTTGGTGTTTAATACATTTCAACTGATTTCCCCTATAAAATATTCATTGGGTCTGGGTTTCTAAGCTTTAGATCTAGGATTTAGTTTCCACTTGACTTGAGGTTTCATATTAGGAAGATTGACACATAAAACAAATACTCCATTGCTGGG